AGATTGTAGCTTCAGTTTTTTGAGCTATGGTCATTTTAACATTTAACAATTTCTGAAAAATACCCAAGGTCCATGGTTTCTCCAAAAAATAGCTCCAAAATTACACCAATTTTTATAACATTTTCTGATGCATATTGATGTCCTTATGCTGTGGGAAAAGTTTCAGATGATTATTCAATTTTTCAAGTTATGGCATTTTAAGAAAATGCCAAAAATTTGAAAAATGCCTATAGGTTTTTCCAAAAAATGACTCCGAAATCACCCCAAGATTCTATTACATTTTAAAATGCATATTGATGTCCTTACGCTATGTAGCAAGTTTGAGCTGATTCTGACTTAAATTTTTAAAGTTGAGCAATCTAAAATGAACATTCTAAAATCAAGCCAATAATATTTTTGAAAAAGAAAATTCTGTATTGCACATGATGTAAATGTACATGTACATGTATGTCATTGTGATGATGTGTCTTAGGATACAGTCAGGGGAAAGTTGTCTTACAAAGGTCGTGTGAATACTGACAAGTGTCAAATAATCGACTTGAAAGATGGCGAATGTAAGTACAGTATATCTTATACTGTATCATGATAATATTATTGTGTGGTTTCCTGTGTAGGGTCTCATGGTGGTAATGGCGTTAAAAATGCTTGGCGGATTAATAATTTCGATAAAGACGACAAATGGTATGTATTGTTTGCTAAGAATGCAAGAATGAAAGAGGAATGGATGGAGGCTTTCAAGAAAGAGAGAAGACAAGTGGAGGATGACAAAATAAACGGTTTGTTATTTAACATACCTATACATGTACATGTACACGTGTATATGTACACGTGTATATGTACAGTGCCACAAGTTTATATGTACAACATGGCCTTGATTCTAAAAATCGGTGTGCTTTAATGCCTAAAACTCCATAATTATTAACTTTGTTAGGGAAAGGTACACATAAATGTATGTACATGTACTAGGTTTTATATTATACAATGTGGCACCATTATTTTCCCTCTTCTCTTTTCAATAGGTTTCATCATCACTCCTAAAATGAAAAGAGCTGCCATTGCTCTGTTTAATACCACCAGTGAGCCAATATCAAGGAAACATCCACCAAAAAAGAACTATGGTAAGTAACAATAGCTAACGAGACACCTACGGTGCTTGGACTCGCCGCAGTTGCTGCTGTATTTATGGGATGAAACAGTGAATTGTGGTATGTAGCTATCTGCATCATATGATGTATCCATCAGAGCAATTGGCATCAGTTTTAATATTTCTTTAGCATAATTACAAAATTGTTCTTACACTTTGTGCTGCTGTCTTATGTCAAATATATCATAAAATTCTTCATCAAATTTTGCAATGAATCACAAAAAAGAAAGGGACACAGAAGTCCCAAACACTTTAATCCCTTCCAA